CGGGGTGCGCCGGGATGCACCAGGTGCCTCCGCCACAGGAAGGAGCCTGGGATTCGCCATGCGCCCCTGTGTGTCCCCTGCTGCTCCTGGGATGCACCCGGTGCCCCAGCGCTGCCTCTGTGCATCCCTGCCATGTGCTCCCGGGAATCTGCCCTGCACAGGGATGCGCCTTGGGGGGTGCTGGACACCCTGCGCCCCGGCACGTGCCTGGCTTGTTCCCCAGCGGACCGTTTGCACCCGTGGGAGGCCTACGGGTCCCTGCCAGGCAGCCAGCAGGCACCACATGCCCTGGGATGCACCACGTGGCTCAGGATGCATCACATTGTCCAGGATGTGCCCCAGGGACTGCCACGCACCCCCTCTCCATCATGCCAGGGACGAGCAGGGGACGTCGCCCGTCCCTGCCGCGGCGCAGCTGGCACCGCTGCAGCGCGCGGGCAACAAGGCCGTGGCCAGGCCGCGCTCACCTCGCGGCCTTCATCCCTGCCCGGGCAGTGCGAAAGCTGCGCCGTTCCCAGAGCTGCGTTATCGGGCACCGCGCGGCCCCTGCGGAGCTGTCGGGGCCAGCGGAGCAGGCGCCCCGCGCACAGCGTGCAGCAAGTCCTCGGCCACCCAGCTCAGCGCCCACTTGCTCAACATGAGCTCGTGCGCTCAGTGTTGCCTCCATCGAGGCACCCCGGGGTTTCTTTAGCTGCTTCCCTAAGGAAACATCAATCCCGTGGCCACCTGGGCACCATCGAAGCCGCAGGCAGGTCGGAGCCACGGGGACACGTTGCAGGGAACCAACTGGGTGACAGCTCCGCAAACGGCCTCTGTTGGAGGCGGCGAACGAAAGGGCCAAAGAAAAACCCCTGCCAGGGCCAGGGCGGTGTTTGGGTGTCCCTGATATTTTTTTTTTCCCGGCGCGGTGCCCACGAGGTCGGGTGCGATATGAGCGGCCACGTCAGCTGGTGGCAGGTGCCGCTATAAAGGGAGGGTGGCGGCGGCGACGCAGCAGGACACCCACCATGGCCAGAGCGCTGCTCCTCTGCCTGCTGCTGCTGGCGGCCCACGCCCTGGGCTCCCCGCACGAGCGCGGCCTCATCTTCAACCTGGTAGGAGCCGCCCCTCGGCCACGGCGCCGCTGGGGACACCGAGGCACCGTCTCCCGCGGGTGTCGCGGGGGCGC